AGGGGGACCCTACCAACAACATCTGGTCCCATGAGCCTCAGTTCCCTGCGGGAGCCAGGATTGCTAACCCTTTTTTTTTTTTTTACTGACAGTCAACCTTTTTTTACTGACATGTTTTTACTGATATGTTTTACCTAATGTAAATAAATGTAACTGCTGCCAGGCCCTAGTTAAAAGGGCTGGGTTATAATTTAGGGGTTTAACATCAATCAGAGTAAAAAAATTGAAAATGTTTAGTTCTCAGCAAAAAGTTTGCAATACATTTTTTGGGGGGGGGGTTGGCAAACCTACTTGACTGCAGCAATAGTTTTAAATTGTGCTGCCCACTTGCAGGGGCCTCTTATGCAGCTCCACGCCCTGATGCTCACACTGCACCTTACACCATGCTGCTTCCCCCAACCCTTCCCCCCCAACTTATCCCTCCCAGTTCTGCTACCCCCCCTTCCCAGCATAGACTCCCCAATGAAGCTTGTTGCCCAGCAGTTTTACTGACAGGCTGGGCTGCAGCAGCAGCAACACATGTCTGAGAGAATGTTCCCTCCATGGTGCTGCACTCCTACTTGAATACCAGGTGATACTGCTGTGCTCTGTCTGTTGGAACCGCAATCAAGCTACAACTGCATCATGTTTTTACTGGTCACTAATGGTTTGTTTTTTTACAGACATTACTGATAGCCATTCTTAGCCTGATTTCTTTTACCAACAGTCAGTAATTTACTGACTGTTGATAACCCTGCCCAGAGCCATCTGGCCTCCAAAACTTAAGTTTCATCTATGAGCTGGGGGTAGGCTGGGAGTGGTGTCAGCTAGGAGGCAATTGGTGCTTTCTTCCCCATTGTTTTCAGAAATCAATTGAGCTTGAGGAATCCCTGCAGGAAAGCATACTGGAATATCTGCTCAGCTTTCCTCTAGTTGTTAAATGCAGCACAATTTAAGCTTTTACTAAATGACTACTTACAAATACATAATTAAAGAGTGCTCTTGTTAAAATATTAGTATTCTGCACAAAACACGGTAAGTCAGCAAGTAGCAAAAGCACCTATACCGTCCTGTCGGAACTGATACTTACGAACTGCTCCATTGTGAATACGAGCAGACATGCTCACTATGAGTCTTGCACATACTTCTGGTAAAATATGAGGTCCAACTTCTGAAGCAATTTCAATGCAATGATACCGGTGATACTCATCCAAATCTTTCTTACTACACAAGTTCTCCACAGAACTGATTCTAGGAATAAGACCAAGCTTGAGGTTTGACAAGAAAGAAATGATTAGATATTTGTGTAGGTGTACAGAAAAATATAGCTTACCAGTCTCTTCTACTTCATTCTACACTTTATGGTTAAAGACCCAGAGCTCAGCCATTTCTAGATCCTCTACCTTGTAGCTCCTTTACTTCAACCCACATTTTTTCTAAGGTTTTAGGCCAGGGGTGGGCAAATTGGAGGATTTGACTGGTGGTCAGACTCCATTTTCCAGCAGCCCCTGCCTGCATTGCTCCAGCAGGTCTCCATGGAGACCCCAGGAGTGGCAGGGCCATGACAGCTCTGTACCCAGTGCAGCCACGATGCATGGACAGCACCTGTTGCTGGTGCTGATGGCAGCTATGCGGTCATCTGCCACTGTGACAGTGACCGTTTATGCCCCCCGCCTCTACAAAGGCAGCACCCAGGGCTGCTGCCCCAGTTGTCCCCCATTAGTTACACTACTGCAGGAGCAGGCAAAGTCCGGCCCATAGGCTGGATTGGGCCTGTGGAGGACTCCATTTTCTAGCAGCCCCTGCCCACATTGCTCTGGCCAGTCTCCATGGAGACCCCAGGAGTGGTGGGGCTGTGGCAGCAGGGGGTCAGCATGTCCAAGGAGACCAGCCTAAGTGGTGCACTGGCAGGGCCAATGGCTGGGTGCAGAGCTGGTCTGGGGCCAGGGCTGGGGTCTTGTGGCAGTGACAGCACAGGCCAGAACTGAAGCAGAGCCGCAATCTGCTGCCTGCATGCCCCTGGGGCAGCAGATCACAGCTGCCCTGGCTCCAGCCCATGCTGTCACCACTACAAGGTCCTGGCCTCGCCCCAGAGCCGCTCCGCACCCAGCCACGTGCCCTGCCAGCATGCTGCTTGGGCTGGTCTCCATGGAGGTGCTAACCCCGTGCTGTCATGGCCCCATGCTCCTGGGGTCTCCACAGACTTTGTCCACCCCTGCAGTAATGTAACTAATGGGGGACAACTGGGAAAGCAGTCCTGGGCACTGCCTTTGTGGGGTGGGGGAAGTAAAGGACCACAAATGGTTACTGCCACAGTGGCATGTGAATGCCCTGCTGTCATCAGCACCAGCAACTGGGGCTGTCCATATGTTGTAGCTTCACTGGGTACAGAGTTGCCTGCTGCATACATCTGGTCTTACATTATTATAGAATTATAGAAAAATAGAGTATCATACATTTTAGACTCAGTTCTCAAAAAAAGCATGTGCACAAAGTCCTGTGTACATTTACAGAAGTAAAATACTTCCTAAGCCTGTTTGGAGTCCACTCACAGAAAACGATGCATTCCACACCTAACTGGCTATTACCATGTGCAATTACTTAAGCTGGCCATGCTGTTACAGAATTTGTATACAAATATAAACTAATACATAGAAATCTCTGTTTTTCTGATAAAATAATTATTTTCAGTAATTAAAACTAGCATTCTAAAAACTATTTAGCAAATATTTGTAATATGCCTCTGTAGAAGTTGGAAACAGATACAATGTTATTAAAGGAAGTGGACTGCAAGGTTACTTACTGAATCAATCAAGATGGCTGATTTAGTCTTTGAGTCAGAGGCAGAAGGCTGAGAAAAATAAACATCTACAGAATACCCTGCTCCTGGTTCTAAGCAGAAAGGAGTCTGTAGAAGTGCAATTCTGTTAGAAGGAATAAACCAAAATTAAAAGTCAATGTTCCTTTATCAGACAGTCAATAAGTAGAAATCATTTCCTCAAGAAAAGGGTTTGGAATAGTTTTCTGTGTTCACTTGTCTTAAAGAGGCGGGGACATACACACAAACTCAGGAGAGAAGATACCATGTTGGCGTTTAATATGAAGGAGTGTGTAACTGGTTTCTATGTTTAATGTCAGAATTTGCGATTTTTTATCAGGGAAAACCAGGATCCCTGCTGATGAGAGTGAAATGCTAAGGACAACACTGGTGTCAATCAATTTTTCCATCTCTTTAATGAAACAGGTCTTAATCCCTGACATTGTGTCTGAACCATTGATCTAATCACTATATGGGAAGGATCTCAGCTTGCATTTCTCCCTCAAGGATGCAAAAGTGCACTGGAGCCACAGTAGACTTTTGCTGGAGCAGTTGCTAAAGTGGCAAACTCTCACTCTGCATCACATGGCTGTCTATGGTGTCCTGACAATGTGAAGGATCACATACATCATCCTAATTCTGGGAGTATTCTCTGCATATTCTCACTTTCCTAGGCACTTATCACAACAACTTAATAAAAGCACATGAACATTAAAAAAGAGTGGTAAAGAAGGTAATATCCAGACCTCTTTCTAGCTGGTAGGGCCAATGCATATGGCTCCTGTGGGTCTGGCTTGTTCTTGCAGCGTTCATTCGCTAAAGTTCCATGGGGGTTAACAGCAATACTCGCTATCCAGTCTTCTAAAGACTAAGCAGGTAGGAAAAAATTAGGAGAAAAAAACACTCACATTTTCTCTCACATGCACATCAATGTAGCCATGCTACTGAAAGGCAAAGCAAGTAGCAGTAGATTGCAACAACAAAGCAGTTTGTTCTTTTCATATATTATTATGTCATCTGGTAATAGTGGATCAGTCCTTAGGCGGGGCAATGGCTTTAGTTCCATTCACGTCAATGGAGCTGTTCCCATGGACACCAGCTGAGGGTTATTCATAGATTCATAGATGTTAGGGCCAGAAGAGACATCCATAGATCATCGAGTCTGACCCCCTGCATAGGCAGGAAACAGTGCTGGGTTTAGATGACCCCAGCTAGATGCCCATCTAACCTCCTCTTGAAGATCCCCGGGGTAGGGGAGAGCACCACCTGCCTTGGGAGCCCATTCCAGATTTTGGCTACTCTAACTGTGAAGAAGTTCTTCCTAATGTCCAATCTAAATCTGCTCTCTGCTAGCTTGTGGCCATTATTTCTTGTGACTCCCAGGGGCACCTTGGTGAGTAAAGCCTCACCAATTCCCTTCTGTGCCCCCATGATGAACTTATAGGCAGCCACAAGGTCGCCTCTCAACCTTCTCTTGCGGAGGCTGAAGAGGTCCAGGTGCCCTAGTCTCTCCTCGTAGGGCTTGGCCTGCAAGACCTTAACCATACGAGTGGCCCTTCTCTGGACCCTCTCCAGGTTATCCACATCCCTGTTGCTGAACTCCTAACTGTAGTATGCAACCTACCACTAAAAACACTAAAAAAAATGCAACCTATCACTAAAAATCACTAAAAACACTAACAGCAGAGGGCTGTCAATGTGAGTCCCATATTTTAAAAAGGCTTTAGAGGGGACACAGAACTACAGACTGGTTAGCCTAACTTCTGTTCCTGGAAAACTGGCAGAAACAATAATACAAAAAAGAGAATTGTTCAGCACATGGACAAACATGACTTGTTGGGGAGGAATAAACATGACTTTGTCAAAGGGAAATCATGTCTCACCAACCTACTAGAGTTCTTTGAGGGTGTCAATAAACAGGTGAATCAGGGTGATCCAGTTGATATAAAATAGTTGGACTTCCAAAAAGCTTTGACAAGGTCCCCCAACAGAGGATTTTAACTAAGGTAGGCATGGGATTATAGGGAATGTCCACTTGTGGATTAGAAATTGGCTCAAAGATAAAAAGCAAAGTGTGAGTATGTATGGTCAGTTTTCAGGATGGAAAGAAATAAACAATAGGTCCCCCAGGGATTTGTGTTGGGACCAGTGCTATGTAACATATTCATAAGTGATCAGGAAAAGAGGGTGAGTAGTGAGGTGGCCAAATGTGTCAATGACACAAAATTATTCAAAGTGGTAAAGACCAAGGCAGACTGAGAGGAACTATAGAAGGATTTGCCATGATTGAGTGAATGGGCAACTAAATGGCAGATGCCATTCAGTGTAGAAAAGTGTGAAGTTAACTGAAGTTAACCTAAGCAAAAATACCTATACCTATACTACAATGCGCTCTGCATTAGCTGTTACCAGACAGGAAAGAGATCTGGGAGTCACTGTGTACAGTTTGCTAAAAATATCAGCTCAGCAGCCATCAAAAAGGCAAATAAAATGTTCAGGATTATTAAGAAGAGAATTGTAAACAGAACAAAAAAGGTATCATCATGCCCCTTCATAAATCCATAGTGCATCCACACCTTGAATGCTGTGCTCAGTTCTGGTCCCCACACCTCAGAAAGAATATAGGAGAACTAGAGAAGGTGTAGAGAGGAGCAAGGATGTAGTATGGTAGTATGGAGGGGCTTCCAGATGAGGAGAGACTAAAGAGGCTAAGTCTATTCAGTTTAGAAAAGAGACACTTGAGGGGTGGGGACATGATAAGGGTTTAGAAAATACTAAATGGCAAAAAGAAAGTAAATAGAGATTTATTATTTACTCTCACACAATACAAGAACTAGGGGTCATAAAATGAAACGAGTAGGCAATAAGTTTAAAACTAACAAAAGGAAGTTGTTTTACACACAGCGTGTCATTGAGGTGTGGAACTCACTGCAACCAGCTGTTGTGGAGGTTGACAGTTTAGCCAGATTCAAAAAGGGACAAGTTCTTGGAGGAAAAGGGCATCTGTAGCTATTGAGCATGGGAGTTAGAAATACAGCCTCTGAATTAAAACTCCCTAGACCTTAAATGCTGGAGACTGTAAGTGAGAAAGGAACAGTGGAAAAAAAATCCCGGTTATACACGGTTCATTCTCCCTTTCAGCATCCACTCCTTGACACTGTGTGATACAGGATTCTGGGCAAGACGGACCCATGGTCTGTTCCAGTAAATGGCAATTCTTATGTTGTTATCATATTCCTTTGTTTAAAATGCACACCCCAATTAACAACAGCTGATTTTAGGAAAAACTGTGTATTGTATCCAAGAAAATATAGTATTTATAGAAGCTGCCCATACTATATGGAGCAGGAGACAAGAGGTGTTGTCAGCTTAAAAAGAACAGCACAGCCCTACTTGAAAACAAGGCAAAATAGCTCAAAGTGGCCAAAGAACATGTCCCAAGGTTCACAGGGGGCATTTTTACACATGCTCTGGGAAGTGCTGGGGAGCACTTTAATAAGCAAGGGCTTTTAATTAAAAGTGCCTGAGTGTTCCATGTATCAGCATCCCGCATGCTGAAAAATGGTGGCAGGGCACTTTGAACTAAAGCTCATCAAACAAGCTTTAAAAGCACCCACCACCATTTTACAGTGCAGGGCACTAATAAACGTGATGCCAGGGTCTGTTGGAGCACATTTATTTCTGTGCTCCAGCACACTCGATTAATCAAGTCTGCTCCAACCTGCTGTGAAGCAATCTTTTAGAAAAGTATTCTTGGTTAATTGAAATTTTGATTTCACGCACCTCAGGCTCATAACGAATGGCAATGTCAAAGTCCATGGTAAAGGGAATATTGTTGATAGTAAATCTTAATCTGGCTCCATTTGAAACACGGACAAACCCAGACCCTGTCCATGTGACAGGTTTCCCAGGGAGAGGCTCTCTGAAAACAATGTCCAGAATAGAGTTCCTTCCAAACTGGACTGAACCCTGCAAAGAGATATGGGCACTTTAAACAATCAATGGTATGTGCACAAGCTTTGAAAAATTGTGCACTTTTACCATGTACCTTATTACCTTCAGCAGCTAGTCATCATCACCTAATAAACAAGCAAAGTATGTGCTATTAAACCCTCCCCCATATACCTAACAGATATGAATCTACAATCCAAGCAAGTTGTAAACATTGAAAATCGGCCTCCAATTATGAAAAAGGGGTTTTCTTCTCTCATGGTCAGGTTTTCCTTTGTAATGAAATCTTTGGGTCTGAGCTTATAGTCTATACATGGCAAAATGAGGTGTGTGCATAGACAGGTTTTCTTGAATGATTTATGTAATATCCAACCAATTTGTGTACTGAAAAACCAAATTGTGAGGTGCAAGCCTTCATATTCTATATTTATAATCAGCACTGGTTTACTCTATCCCAGTCCCAGTGCTCTTGTGGAAGTGTTGAACATCAGCAGCATTTGTTGCATCCTTTGTCATTCAAATGTTATATTAGCTTACCCGTTTCAGACCTACTTTTCTCATGCTTCGTTTCTTACTCCTGTTAAGTATAATCCTTCCATTTTCAATTGTGAAATCATATCCTTGCTGCTGGAAATAGATATCACACCTTGGAAAAGCTGTTGGCTTAACCTTAAAAGCAAAAAATGGAGCATTTAGATGACAGCACTTTTAAATGAGCAACTGCTCTGTAATTTCAAAATTAAAAAAACCAGGCTAAATTATTTGCTGATATACATTTATGTAACTCTAAGAATTTGGCCCAGAAAGTTTAAAACTCTCCCACTCACTTTGTTATAAATAACTTTTATTTCCATGTGCACAATTATACATTGCTTTAGACTATGTCCCAGAAAACTGATTTTTATATCATTATTGGGGTGTAGGTTGATAAGTGCTTGCGATTAAAACTGAACATTTTCATATGTGAACTGCAATTAAATAATGGTTACTATTACTCCTAGCAGATTCTGGATGACATGAAGGATAGACATTGGTAAAAATCTTGGCGATGTAGAAATCTTGTTTCTAGCAGAAACAGGCTTGCACTTTGCATGCAAATTAACTATGTCTATTTTTGGATATTCCCCTAAAAAATATTCTGGGAAACTGAAGTATGACTTAGTTATATAAAAACCTAAAAAACTTGGCCAATTCAGAGTCAGTTTCTAAAACCATGTAAGTGAGTCTACGGGATCATAATGGAACTAGATTCTCCCTCCCATCACAGCTACTCTAAAGCTGACATAATGAAACAGAGATGATTACCATCCCCTCAGGTGCCATAGAAACATAGGACTGGACGAGGCCATCTGAGCTTTCAAATATAGTTCCCTGTGTTTGCAAGCAACCGTTTGTCTAAAAAGTTCCATAAGACCATCCACTCCACAGATGCCACACACTGCCAGAGCTTCCTTTCTACACAAGCTGTGTGAACATCAGAGATAAGATACTATGGCTAGGGTTATCCCTTCCCCCTGGCAAATTCAGCTGCCGTAATGGCCTCCTGGGGTCACTGGCCAGTGAGAAAGATCCTTAGGATGCTCAGATTTACACAGGGAGAGTCCATCACTGGAGGAAGCAGAGGACACCTGTGTGTATTTCTTTTAGCTCCAGTAAGTGCTTCAGTCAGTGGAGTTCACTGACTGAAGGAGGAGTGCCTTTTAAACTTGCAAGGGTGGAGAATCTACTTTCCCTGACTCATCTTCCTTTCTCCTACTAATTTCTTCTCCAGTTACAGCACCCTCTCCTTGGCACCCACTTTTCCCTTTCAGCAACTGAGACTCACTTACAACAAGTTAGACCACCTTATGCATGCTGTTCATGAAAACAAAACAACCTACCAGCGGTGCAGATCCAGAGAGTGCCTTTGCATGCTCTGCTTCATAGGTATAATAATCCAGTGGTACAAAGAAGTAGCCTGGGGATGGTTCATTACACTGACGGCCCACAATGTTAGGGAGACACTCACACTGACCATCATTTGATGAGCATCTGACAGGAAATGGCAAGGGTTTGGAATAAGAGAATTAACAATGCATGTATCCTTACAGCCCACCCAGGGGACAGCTATTCTACCTTTGCTTTCTGTCCTTATTGCTCCTTTCTCAGTAAAACTGCCTCCATTTAAAAATAATATTCTAGCAACTCACTGCCATTTCTTGCTTCTAATGCCCATGTTTCCTTATTAATCTGTTAGCAGAGGCAAAAGTTCCTCACATACTGGTTTTCTGTAGTAAAAAATAACAAATTCTCTGATGAAAAATCGTGAATTCTCTGACAAAACCCCCAAAATCCATTATTAAAATTAAAAGCCCCCTGCAGCACCCCCAACCCTGCTGGTGCCCCTCACACCCCCCCAGTGCATCCTTAAGCCCTGCTGGTACCCCCACTTCCCCCAAAGCCCCCCCACCCTACTGGTGCCTCTTACTGCCCCCAAAGGCCCCCCAATACTGCTGGTGCCTCTTACTCATGCCTCTTGCCCTCCACCCACAGCCCACAGAGGGCGCCCTCAGCTGCCAGAGCTATGGGGCCAAGGCCCCAAGTCTGCAGCTCCCTGCCCCCAACAGCAGGTAGCTGCAGCAGAAGCAGCATGGAGCTGACTCCCCCACTGCTGCTGCCTGCTCAGGCAGGGATGGGGCTAGCTCTTGGCTCCCCCCTAGCCCTGCCAGTGTCCCCCAGCCATGGCATGCAACCCTCCAGCCCTTCCAGAGGGGACCCCATCCCCCTGCAAGCTCCACTTACCACACAGGCCCCAGGAGAAGAGTGAGGCTGAGTTGAGCTGAGCGGAGCCATGGCTAACTGAGAGTCTCAGGCCCTGCCCTCCCTCTCCCCCTCTGGGCAGGGCTGGGGTATTCCCACCCTGTTTGCAAACAGCTTTTGCAGGCTGGAGCTCAACCAGCCTGCAGAGTTGTTTGCAAAAGCAGGGAATCCATGGGTTTCTCTGCTAAAAGAAGAAATCTGCATTTTCTCTGATAAAAGGGGGAAATCCATGGTTTTCTCCATTTTTCCGTGGGGAATGGAAAACCTGGATCCCTGTGTCATCACTCTACCCATTCCACAAGTTGCAACATGCTGGGTATTCACTAGTTTTGACTACTGAATTGTGAGCATATGAGCAGAGCTAGGAAAAAGGCAGGGCAGAGTGGCACCTTAGAGACTAACTAATTCAGAGAGACATACACTTTCTTAATCAGCTGTTTACTTCATCATGTGCCCATGAATATAGTAAATCTACTGTTGCATGGGTTAAGTCTATATACGCTAATGTCTGCTTTCAAGCAGTAGAAAAGACTCTAGCTGAACAAAGTCTAGGCCACTGGTATTTGAAAAGACCGGCTGCCTATGCACATATTAGTTCATGTTCTAATTAGAACACTCCAGCGTGGCCTCACCATCATGTGTATAAGCCCCCACACATTTTAAAATGGCTGCGGGGACATTTTATCTAGGCCTCGTCTAATGAGGTTTAGATAAAGCATCCCACAGCCATTTTTAAATGTGCAGATGCTTAATAAACATAACAGTGAGGTGTTTTAATTAGAGCAGCTCGCCAAGAACTGCTCTAATTAAAATGCGCGCCCCCCAAGCACGTGTATGGGCAGCCATTCATTTTAAAGCTAAACATTTTTAAAGCAAAGATAGCTCTGTACATGTGAAAATAAAGCATTTTTAAGTTTTCAAACATGAATGACAAATCTCAACTTCAAAAACATTATTCCTATCTAATTGCACAAAACTGGGGGACCTGTGCCTCCAGAGTTGAGTTGGAATGGTTTGTACTTTTTCTCAAAACAATCTCAATACTTAATGGTTCAAAGTTTGCTTTAGAGAAAGAGACAAGAAGATTTTTCAATCATCCTAAGACTCCATTTAAACCTCACTAATAAATTTACAAGATCTTACATCTGAATGATTTTATATTATTCATATATGATGGAACTGTGTCTTTAAGCTATTTGGTCTCTCCATTTACACTGAGAATCTTAAAACCCAACTAGATTGGCACAATATTTCATAAAAATTAAAGAACTGGATGAAACTTCAAAATGGGAACTAACTTACAGGCTATTGTAGGCTCCACCAATGTCACAATCACATGGAGAACAACCATACAAACTGTTCCCAAGTCCCCAATACCCTACCTATGAAAATAAAAGAAAATGCATTTTTTTTAATTGTAAATACTTAAAAACTTAAATTACAACTTGAAAACAATCCTACTTTGATTGGGAATATACTTTACTTGGTGAATATTTCACTGAGACAGTTACATGTGTAAAGTTATGCACGTGTGTAAATATAGTCAGGATTCAAGACAAAAGAAAAACGTATCAGTAAACTACACAATACTGTAACAAAGCTGAGTGGAATATTACTAAATAATTTATCTGACATGTTTCCCTGACTGTAAAGTATCCGCATAGTGCAATATTTTGTTTTTTTCCTTCTGTTATGTGAAAGCAGTATTGGGGCAAAGAAGTTTGGTGCCCGCGGCAAGCCCCCAGCAGCAACCCACCCTTGCCCTGCCTACAGAGCTGGCGGGAACATGCCCCCCCATGCTTGCCTGGGAGTGCGCAGAGCAGTGGGAGCTGCCCTCCCCCTGTGCCCACAACCCCCAAATGAGCCGCTAGTGGCTCCGTCCCATGCCCCACCCTAGCTGGGCAGCAACTATTGGCGCCCCTTAATTTCGGTGCCCAGGGTAGTCACCCCGCTCACTGCCCTCCCCCTTTGCTATGGCACTATTTGAAAGCATATAAACATTTCAGAGTTACTTTAACTTTAGGATAGATAAGACTTATTGTTTATCTAATGCTTGTGACTCATTACTGTTGCTAGATTGATTAGCTGTGACTGGTCAGAGAAGCCTCATGGTACAGTTCCTGCTCCTGCCAGGAGGGGTGTTCAAACAGTAAAGAAACTTAAACAGCTAGGTAGTATGTAAGCACTTACAGTTTGAACTCTCCCCATTATAAAACTCAACATTTGATTTCCACAGATATTTGCAGATGGGATTTTGTAATTTATTTTCTTTCTCTGAGTGCTGATTTCAATCAACTGGATTGCACAAGTGTTCATAAAAAGTAAACATAAAAACTCCTAATTATACATGAAGCGAGTCATTTAGATTTCCAAGTGAAGAATCATATTCTTTGCAATAGGTATCCAATCCTAACTGTTTACTATCTATGATTTCAGCAAAAACAGTACAGTAGAAATGGGCAGAAGCTGCCAAGTTTTGTTATGAGAGTGATTATTACTTATTTAACTATTTATTAGATTATGAGTAGTTTTACAAGGTGTTAGATCCATAGTCACTCAGGAGTATTCTTGTGAGGAGATGGCAATTGTCTTCCAGTCAGGTTATCTGGGACGCTGTAAAAACTGTTGGTGTCAATAATAATAATAATCTTAAGGCAGTGAAATTTTAGTGGAGTCTGCCGAGCATTTCTAATAAAGTCAACAGGGTTATAACACTTCTTGGGTCAGGTCATCTCAAGACTTGATCCTGTTCTGCTGAAATCATAGAAATTAAGGACTGGAAGGAACCTCAAAACATCATCGAGTCCAACCCCCTGCTCTGGGCAGGAATATTGCTGAGATCAACTGATTCCAGCAAGGTGTCTGTCCAGTCTCCTCTTGAAGACTTCCAAAAGCATGGACATTTCACTATTGACCTCATTAAGAGTAGGAACAGGTTGTAGAACAGAATTAAATCATAATGGGCACCCGTACAGACCAAGTTCCTCAGGCTACACTAAATCAGAATTGGTGAAGAGCCTCAGCTGGCTGCTCGTACAGTAAGGACCATTTTTACAATACATTAGATCATAGTTTCTCAAACTGTGGTACGCATACCCCTTGGGGTACGTGAGACACAGGCAGGGTGTACGTGGGTATACCAACACTCTCTCTCTCGTGCCCTCTTTTCCTCTCTAAACTATAGCAAAAAATGCAGTGTGTCATGCACTGTGCGGCACTTTAAATTCCTCAGTAATAATTTGGCATCACTGGGGTCAACCCTCCTAGCTTTGGGAAACATCACATCTAGCTCAGATACATACTTGAGTTGTGCACCCCGGGTGTAAAAGGTGGAAACCCAGATCAGACATCTGTTATATTGCAGCCTTATATACACAGCCCTTCTTGCAATTTATAGCACATATTAGTCTGTAAATATAAAATCCCCTGGAAAATTGAGTGTTGGGGTACCTATTAAAATTTTCAGAAGTTGCTACTTAAAAGGTTGAGAAACCTGCTATCTGCTATTTCCACTCAGAATTGTTCTGTATTCGCAGAACAAGGAGAAAGGAGATAAAAGAGGGGAAAGAGCTTAGAAAGCATGTGATAGAAGATACTGTATGAAGCAAACATGGAAGTCTGCTGAATACATACAACGCATTCTTCACAATGTTGCCCAGTGGTGAACCACTGGCAGAGGCACTCTCCAGTCACTGGGTCACAGATTGACAAAGACAAACTACCAAAAGGATTACAGTTGCAGGCTGTAAGGAAACAGGACCACCTCTGTTAGTGCCATTGCCAAAAAGCAATCCTACATTTACATTTGCAGTGAATTCACAAATAACCACTGCTCTCTGCTGTCTGGAGATCACAATGCAGAACAACACCTGCTGAATTCAGTTAGCCCTTAGCAGACTGGTTATTCCTTAGGGATGGATAATTTTCTTCAGGTATTTTGGTGGGAGTGATATCAGGAAGTGCTCTGCTGGGGCGCAAAGGATGGCTGGCAAGCAGATCAGACTCTAGGAAGAAGTTCTGTAAGGATTTCTGCTATGGTCCTGCATTGTACTTCAACCCACACATTATTATTTTCATTTTTGCTAAGATGATCCTCTACCTACTTAACAAATATTTACAATAAAGATAATAAGTGCAAACATGTCACAAAAATCAGACAGTGCTTGAGGTGAAGGGCACATAATTTTCTTTAAAACTGTCAAAGAAATCACTGGCTGAAAGCTCTCAAGAGTAGTGCACACAGCAGCCTGTCCACTCTGACACCCAGTGTACCATCTCTGGAATACACTTGCTCTGTAACAACAGAAGGGCCCTGAATCATTCCTCAAGGAGCCTTCTCACATAGCAGGGCAGACCTTGCTTGTTTGGCATCTGCTCCAGTTTGATGTACATAGAATTTATGTTAACTGGATTTTTTAACCCTATACCTTAAAAATATGAACAGAATATTCTGCAATAGATCTGGGGGACATAGGCTTGCCTCCTTGGTAGATGACTTCAAAATTCTTTTGAAAAAGTAACCCAGGTCATGACTTTGCAAGAGGTGACATAAGGTGCTTGCAGTGTGCATTTGTCTGCATCATTAACCATAAAAATGACAGCTAAACATTGCAACTTTGGACAACAAAATTGTTGCCAGCCAGGAAGGAAATACATTGCCAGAAAGGTGCTAGACACTGCACTCATAAAACCCATCTACTCTATGTCTGATTCTCAGTAGACTCTTTTATGATGACCAAGACATCCTTTGCCTTATTTTTTGTATAAGAAACATAATTCTAATCACCTATTTAGAAGCCGTTCTACTTCAAATAAAAAATTGCACAGATTGTTTGAGGTACTCTGTTTAGTAAATCGCTAGTGTATTTCCAGTCCTGCTCCTCTTTGTTTCAGATACTGCACCAATCACATTGCCTGGAAATGAAGTTTAAAGTAGGCAATATGTATGTCATTTTTAACTACCTCTCGTGGTTAGAAACTAAGTTTTGAAAGAAAAAGATGGTAGTTCACACACACTGACAGCCCAGAGGATTGCCGCTGCTCAGCCCATAGTAGTTTGGCTTGCACTTGTCACAACGGACTCCTTCAACATTCTCCTTGCAAAGGCATCGACCAGCAAGACTTCCAAGAGTGCGGTCTGTGTGGCTTTCACACCGTCCACTGTATAATGTACCTTCTGGGTCACAGTCACAGGCTACAAACACAAACAGAAACATGCAAAGAATAACTTCAGGCATAAGAATCTATATACACATTATATCATTGCCATTAATTAAATATTCGTATTCTGACAGTGCCTAGACACTTTAATCAAGACAGGATCTGCATTATGTGAAACACTGTACAAGCAAAGCCCCTAGTTAAGAATTCTGTGAAGGGCTTTCAGACAATGCACCCTGATGTGGGAGGTACTCTGGCCTTGAGGAGAGACACAGTAGGTGCATCTACACATGCATTTGCTGCAGCACCAGTTTAGTCACAAGTAAATTACTCGAGAATAAATGGTACCAGGCAGATGTCTACATATGTAAGGAAGCACCAATCCGGTCCCGTTTCCTGGGGCCCTGGAATAGGCACCTGCTGCTAGCAGGGGGGACTCCAGGCTCCAGCTGCAACTGCCAGCAGCTGGCAGCCCTGTTCAAAAGCCCAACCCGCTTGCTGCTCTCTGGCCAGCCACTTCCCCGGCCAGAAGCAGGATGCACAGTGGCAGCACTCTCCTCAACAACTCTGCTTCCCCAACCCATGGCTGTTTCTGCCCCTGGCAGCAACGGTCAGTGTCCCCCACTTCTGTTGGCCACTGCATTGGCCCTGATGACCTACCACACTGACTACTGCCTGGCCCACAGCAATCTCACCCCTCCAGCTCCCCCACATGCAGCAACTGTCTGTATCTGCCCACCAACCATGCGCCATCCCAGGGCTGCTGCCATGCACCTGGACCTCGCCTGGCTGGCTGGACCCTGCCAGGGACACCAACAGGCTCCAAGATGCCACTGCTGGGGCCACCCTCGCCCTCCTGGGCCTCCAGCCCCATTGCCTCTGGGCCTGCCAAGCCACCCAGGACTGGTGGCAGCACATTGTCCAGCACACCTGGCAGTGACTGGAGGCCTTCAGGATGGCTTGGGCCACCTTCGGGGATTTCCCAGAGCGCCCGCCCCCAGCCACATCTGGAGTGGCAGGACACCGCCTTGCAGCCGCCCTTCCCTGCAGACACCTGGCTGGCCCTAGCCCTGCTCAAGCTGGCTATGCCCGCTTGCTTGCAGTATGTTGGCCACCTGTTTGGCATGGGCAAGGCCACTGCTGGGGGCACCATCCTGGAGGTGTGCGGCACCCTCCAGGACATGCTGGGGGACACCGTGCTCCACGTACATGACCCCCTGGTGGTGGTAGCAGGGTTCCATGCCCTGGGATTCCTCCACTGCATCGAGACCCTGGACAGGACCCATATCCCTGTCACTGCCCACCCCATGGAGACCACCCCTATTACAGACAGAGGGGCTTTCACTCTGTGGTGCTCCAGGCCATCGTAGACCAAAGTGCCTTCATTCACATGAGTGCCTGCTGGCAGGCAGTGCCCATGATGTCCATGTGTTCTGAAACTCCAGCCTGCTGGACCTGGTGAAGAGTGGGTACTTTGCACCGGGGGGGGGGTGCCAGACCTGCAGCTGGGTGGTATGGTGGTCCCACCCCTCCTCATCAGGGACCCCACCTACCTGCTCCTGCCCTGGCTCATGCAGGCCTACAATGGCCACTTGGATCCCACCAGGCCCACTTTAACAGCTGCCTGGGCCAGACCCATGCCCTGGTGGAGTGTGCATTCAGGTGCTACAAAGGCCACTGGTGCACCCTCACTGCCCATGTTAAGTTTGCTGAGGACCACCTCCCCTGGGTCACTGTCACAGCCTGCATGCTGCATAACATCTGTGAGTCCCAGAGAGAGCTCTTCCATGAGGGCTGGGTGGAGGAGTAATGGGAAGCAGAGGATGCCTAGCAGCAGGAGTGCCACCTGTGGTGGCAGTGGCAGGGGCCCGCCCCCCCCCCCCCCAGGGCCCCAGCCCAGCCACACACTCACCAGGAGGGGCCAGGGCACTGGATGCAGGAGACACTGGCCGACCACCTCCTCCAGCACTCTGTGCTCTAAGCTACCTGCACTGCCACCCAGGGACCCCCCGCCCCCTCTGCCCCCCCCCAGCACCACACTCACTGCAGACACATCTCAGAAGAACAAGATTTATTTCCCTCACCTCCCCCACCTCTCCCCAACAGAGTCCCCCTCCCCGCTCAACAAACAGATCCCCTCTACCACTTACCCTACCTACCACAATAAAAAACCTTCCTCCCCTGAAAACTATGTACAATGTTATTTGTGTGCCATCCTGGCCTGCCTCCCCAACCCCGTTCCCAGAGCAGGACAGGACAGGCTCCTGGCAGCACCTGCTGCCACAGTTCCAAGCACAGTTTCCCTCCCCGCCTCTCACAGGCCAACCGCTCTGCTGCGCTGCCACCCAGCCCACCGTGCCCAGGCTCGGGGCAGTGCAGGCCTCCCAGGCAACTGGAACAAGGAGCCACCTGTGCTCTTGCCCTCCCTGCAGAGGTATTCTCTGGGGAGGTGCCAGCCACTCCCCATGGCGCTTCTGTGCCCTGAGTGTGTGTCCCAGGCAGTGTGCAAGGAGTTGTTCATGCAGACCAAGGGGTGCCCAACCCACTATGCCCTACTGCTGCTGATGGCCATGGTGCCTCAGGTACATTTGTCCACCTGGCATGGAACCCTGAGATACGGTGCTGGCAACCCACTGTGCCCGCAAGGCTTTGACCTTTATGCGGCCCTGCTGTACAGACCAGTTGTGCCTACACTCCCACATCTGACCTGACAGCCCCTCATAGACATGGGTGTTGGAGTGCCTGCCCTGCTCAATCTGGCACTGCACCTTCGCCTTGCCCCACAATACCACAAGTTCACCAGTCTCCTCCTGCAACCAGTTGGGGCCCCAGGTGGCAGGCATGGGCGCGGGCATGGGTGTTAGTGAGGATGTCGCTATCAGGGGTCCCATGCCACCTCTCCGGGCCTCTGCGTGTCTGTCCCTGTGCTGCCAGGCCTGGGCAGCTGCCCACAGAGCCCAGCGGAGGGGCCTGGTGTGGCACTGACTGCTACGCGGCTGAGGCAATGCCCTGCAGCACTTGCAGGCTCAGGGCAGGCTGCTGGGGGTGAGGTGTGGCCAGATGGAGTTGGCCCTGGTAACCATAAGCTGCCTGCAGCTGGGCCTGGCTGGAGCCTGCAGCAGCCTGCAGGCCTGGATGGCACAGGCCTGGCAGGTGTGCAGCAGTGCAGTGCTTTGCAGGAGCACCACGGTGCAGGCAGGCTGGTGAGGCTAGCCTGCGGCTTGCCCAGGTGGACACAGGACCTGGAGTCACCTCAGGCTGCCTGCTGGTGTGCCCCAGGGTTCAAAATGCCCACAGGCTTTAAAAAGCCTGAGGCAGGAGCTGCTATAGAGGTAGGGCTGACCTGGAAGCAAATTTGCTCCCAGGTTGCATCTATGCATGCATTATTGCATAGTAACTAATTGTGAGTAAATTTGATACCTGCATTTGCAGATATCAAATTTACTCATGATTAGGGGTTTTTACTGTGCAGTAAGCACGCACACATGTAGACGCACACACTTACTGCACAGTAAACTATGCTACTGCTCAGTTTAGCATCTTGCGTGGATGCCCAGTTTCCTCCAATAATTTTTGTGAGGAAGGATGAGTAATGTGCACCTTATAGAACATTATAGAACAACTCATATATATATACATACACATATATATACATATATTTTGTTCACTTAGTTTCAGTATGTATATATATATATATATATATACACACACACACACACACACACACACATATCGTATACATATATCATAGTATAAGCTTTAGAGAACCCAAGCTCACTTCATCAGATGCTGTCTCTACCTCTCTATTTATAGCTGCCCATATTTGTGATGATTTGCTGCACAATGGACAATTTTCTTATGGATTTCATTGCTGAAGTATGATGAGCTATAGCTGAAATTAAGTGAACAGAAGAAGATGTATTAAAAATACACTGGTCTAACTTCTTTTGAGTTAGGTTACTATTTTTACAGCTGCATAGAAAATTAACTGAACTGATAAAAAAGAGTTTGGAAAGAGTAGAGATAACTGAAGCTGTTTAATTTTGAACCAATCCCTATGAGAAAACAGTGACCTTACGGAGGCATGCATGAGGGTCAGAAATCATTCTGAGTGGGTCCTGGTAAAAGAAAGGTTTGCACTGGTCACAATGTTGTCCCATGGTATTGTGCTGACAGTCATCACAGACGCCGCCACTGATGCCATGATTAGCTAGGTACACTGCCATCTCAAAATGGCATCTGTCAGAATGGCCATTGCAATCACATTCTGAAAGAGAACACAGTGGTATAATTGTAGTTATCAGTAGATTACACTAATGTCTCAATGCCCTGAACAGGACTAGGGCCTGAACAGGAACAATGAGTGCCTATACACATGCAGTGTATAAGTGTATCAGTGTTCCCACACTGAAAAATGGCAGCAGGGGTGCTTTAACTAAAGTTCATTTGACAAGCTTCAGTTAAAGTGCTCCTGCCGCCATTTTTCAGTACAGAGATGCTGATACACGTGACACTTTGGGCACTTTAATTAGAACTCCCAGAGCAGATCTATGAACACCCATTGTGCCTAGTGATGCAAGTTAGTGGCTCTACCAGGTTCAGGGGGAGTTCTCACTTGCATTTAGTTAAGGTTGTATATTTACAATTGTGGGACTGGAGCCTAATTAAGGACAAGATGGAATAAATAAATGTGGCAACAGCAGGGCAAAGGGATGGTAAAAACAGCCCATTCACTTGATTAGATAAGTTAGCAATTTCCAGCATGGATGGTTGTGAATAATTTTGAACTATTTTTTGAATGAGGATGCACAATTTAAAATGTAGAACAATTAATCAGCATAAGCATCCACTGACTGTTATGACAGCAGCATACAAGAATCAAAGTACTAGAGGCAGAGTTACTCCTGATTTTATAATGTGTAATGTAATGTTGACCCCAATTACAGAGAGACCATAATTGTTTCAGTCTCTCTCAAACATGTTCAGGGACAGAGGGAAATTGAAAAAAATCAGAAGATAGACAAAAATAGCATCTTTTTAGACAAAGTTATTTGGTTCCAGTCTCACAATTTTGGGGGTATTACTCATGATTTTGGACTTCTGAATCTGTCAGTGCTGTGTAAGCATCACTGATCACTCGTCATTCTATTTTGAATACAGACACAAATATTTTCTCCTTGATTCATCCTGGACAGAGCAGAGCACCCTGAATAAAGCAGAACTATTCTATCCCATGACCTTATGTCAGGTAATTACCCCCCAACAGCAAAACTGGGTCCTAAGTTTCCATAAGTATAAAGATTGTGCTGTAAATAACAAAGCTCCACTGAAGTCAAGCTTACAGTAATGGAAGACCTGTCCCAATTCGTGCAATGCATGTTCTTTTATTCGAGATGTTTCCTGGTGCTTTATTCTTTCCTTCATCTATTAGTTTATACATAAATTGCCTGATTCTGATTTCAAGCAGTTTCACCAGTGTAAACACTCATTGGAGTTACTCATTATTTTCACTGATGTAACCAATCTTAGGAACAGACACAAAACAGGTGCAGACAGAAGTGACAATTTTTACCCGATCCAGCCACAGAAAGTGGTCTATAGCTGTGACCAAATATAAGTGCATGGCTGCAGAGAGCTTAAAAATGGCCAATTGGGTGAAAATCTGACCCCTCATTACATGAAGTATCAGATAAAGACATTTCAAAATGTAGCATCTTCTGTAACTTGTGTCTGCACTGCCTCCCAGTCTGTCGCTGTTTTCAGAATGGGAGGGGGAAAAGGGAACAGAAGGAGTTCAGTTTGGGGGTTTTTCAAGGTGGGGGCCCCAATTCACCCACCCCACCCTTCAGCACCAGCTGGGGAGCCCCAAGAAAAAGCTCCCTCTGCCCGCCCCCCCACCCCATTCTGAAAACAGTGAGCACTGGCAGACCCCTGGCTATTGCTATGAGAACCCAGTTACAGGCTCCCAGCCCACAGCTAGATTCCCCTCCCCACTGGAACCAACAGTGAACTTCTGTTTGGTCTGGGGTAACGTTGTAACTCAGAATGCTTTGCAGAAATTATTCCGAGTTACAGGTGGGAGCTGCACTTCTGTCTGCACCTTAGCGATCATAGCTCAGGTGCAGAACACACTCTGGCTCTTTATGTCACTTGAGAAGCACAAAGGAGCTAAAGTGTCCTGGTGAATCTGTTCCAGAATTTCTTAGATCTTTTTTGTTCAGCACCATGTTTCTGTGCATCTGAAGACCAGTTAGAATTTTGTCAATAATTTAGTGAAAAAAATATACCCCAGGGCTTGGACAAATGCTCACTTGGAAGAGCTTCAAAAGGAGAGGGGAGCTACAGCTTGGGAGCAGACAGCAGCTGCTATGCTGCTTGTCTATATTTTTATTGGTAAAAAGTGTTGTGCACTAACTGACAAATAATCCTTTTTATCGCCATTGCCTTTTTCTATTCACTTTCCTTTGACTCTTTATGGAAAATAGGAATTTGAAAGAGCTCATCTTCCCTGAGAGCCACATAAATGCTGCTTTGTCATCAGGAGAGATATTGGTGTAGATACAGTGCTTCTTTCACACTCTATCACTGGCATTTCAGTCTCTTTAGGGCCCTCCATTATGCTGGATTTAAGAGTGAGAAATGAGCCCCCACAAAAGTATTGTTCCTCTTTTAGGCAACACTCTGGAACTGTACTATGTCAGCCACCCCTTTGTTGAAAATTAAGAATAAAATTTTCAGGCACGTTTGCAAGAATTATCCTGTGATCCTTCCGCTGGCCTCCAGGGAGCATCATTGTAGAATTCTTTACACCTCTCACAGGACAAGCCATCAGTGTTGTGCTGGCAGATACATCTACCATGAACCTGCAGTATATTGGAAAAAAAGCACATTTTCTTTAATCCAGTGGCTTTGTGCCATTTACAGGGGGAATGTATCCTGCCCTCCCATTCCGTACATTTTTTTCTTTCACAAAGAATAATAATATATCAGTATTTTCTTTCTGCAAGCAGAAAACCTCCACAGTGCTGGAATCAGATCAGGTTGCTTCCATCTGCATCTCAGATGGAAAACTTTTATATGTAAATTATGCAACCCTATATTCCTGGTGTTTATTTTGCCTCCAGAAAGTTACAGATTTAGACTGACTTTCCCTTCCCTGAAGATGCAAACTTTAAATCTACAAATTTGTCATTTGTCTTTAGCAGAATTCCCAAATTAAATCATGCAATCCTTCCATATATTGTTTACTGCTTGCACAGTTCAGTGTACTTATATGTGCTGGGTACATTCCCCTCTAAATGCTATAAAACAACATATGCCATATAAATATGCTGTGTAAAAATAGCTAAGTGACATTAGGCTTATACTATGCCAGCAAAAGCAGGAAAATTTAGAGCCCTCTGGCTCCCTCAGCTGACACAAACAATTCTCAGTTACTTGAACAAGAGACTTGGACAATAACTAACCAATTTTAGAATAATGAAACAAATGTTAAGAAATATACTGCTACTGACAGAAAATGAGTCTTAGACACTTTAATATAAAGTATAACATATCAAGGAAAAATACTCTTTCTAAACATGGAAGTAGATAAAATTATGTTCCTGAATTGGTGGACAATTTATTTTTCACAAATTTTGTTCTGTCAAATGTGGACCCACAGGATTTTTCTTTTGCCAAAATCTCTTTTTAAGTTGTTGGTTTCCAAGAAGCCCTATTAGAGTTAGAGAACATGCTCAATAAAAGAGCCATTTGAGTCTGCACACAGCACAGGCTATTTATTGAATTATGTTTGCACCATTACAGGTCTGGTATTCCATACTACTATCAACAGGTTCTGTGACAGCTATTTTAGAAAGACTGCTTTAATGCCAAAAGTAGCCAGATACTGATCTCCTTTACAATGAAGCAGGGCTGTCCAGCTGGTGGCCTGTGGGTTACATATGGCTCATGAGGGCCAGTAAGTGGCCTGTAGGCTACATGCAGCCTGCAAACAGTCAAAAGGCAGCCTGTGGGCCCCAGTGGCCACATCTCCTGCTGTTGTGTGGTGGGAAAGGGTCTGGAGATTCACATGCTGCCAGTGTACTGGTGGGGCCTCCCTTCCATAGCATGCAGCCTGTGCAGTCCGTGGCTCCAGGGCTGTACACTAGTGCTGGGTGCAGCCCCTCGCTGTGCTTAAATTGGACAGCCCTGCCCTGAATAATCTGGTCAAGTGTTTTTATCAAAGAGATAATGTTAAAATCCTTTAATCCTTAAATTGTAAATTATCAGCTCATGTATAGCTTTAAAAAACTGCCACATTGGGAATCTCCTTCTATAAAACTTACCATTCCAGGCTGATGGAAAACATCTCCTCGTAGTTTCTGCACTGGACTGCACTGGCTAGCATGTCCATTGCAAAAGCAGCTTCCATGGACAACCATTTCATAAACTGCATAATAATATTTTTCAAGGGGATCATGTTGCCTTCTTCCAAGTAAAGTATCTCCTAGGGTATGGAGTTTCGTGAAATTGATTCGCAGATTTGTTAAGGTGATGAGTTCTGTGATTTGAGAAAGAAATCAAAAGCCAAAATTATCTTAAATTCTGTTCATTTGGGACTATCTAGGGTCAAATCCTCAACTGGTATAAATCATCAATGTGCCCTTTGTGCACCAGGCAAAAAATCCACCATGCCAAAGGAATCTACACAGGTGGAAGAGCTTGGTAGACCTCCTGACCCAGGTCAGTAGTGTAACTAAAGGTGGACAACAGGGGCAGTGGCAATGTGTAGGGGGTGTGTGTGTACCCCGAGAGCACTGGTGCACTCCCTGACCAGCTGTGCTTGCCTCTTAGGTGACGGGCAGGGAGGGCAAGTGGGAGTGCCGGTGCCCCCCTGCAAGTGCCAGCCAGGAAGCAGCCGCAGTGATTGGCTGTCTTGTGATCAGCCATGGGAGAACACCCCCCCCGTCGGTGAGATTGGCCGCAGGGGGACCCTCCCTGGTCGGTGGGATTGGTCATGGGGGATCACCCTCCCACCCCGTCAGTGAGATTGGCCCCAGTCACTGACTGGTCACTGGGGGGGCATGTACCCCCCCTGACTAAGGCACCAGTTGCCCATGAATAGAGGCATGAGCCTCAGATTTAGATAGGGCACAGGAACCTCAGCCACTGTTGGCTTGGCCACTGATGCTACTACCCAGGACACAGAATCTGGTTGTTTCACAGTGGTGGCACATAGGGGGTGCACAGGGGTGCACGTACACCCCCCAAAAGTGCTGGTGCACCCCCTGACAGCAGCATTCCTGGGTATGGGGGGCAGGTAAGAGTGCTGGTGCCCCTCCTGAGAGCGCCAGCTGGGGAGTGCGCCAGGAGAAGCGGTCCCCCTGCGGCCGATCCTGCTGACCCAGAAGTGCCTGTGGCACACCCGGAAGTGCCAGCCACTGCCAGTTGTGGATCGGCAGGATCGGGCTTGGGGATCCTTATCTCTGGCCTGTGGGATTGGTCGTGGGGGACCACCCCCAGTCACTGAGTGTCTGCTGGGGGGGCAAGGGCGGGGGACTCAGGAGGCACCAGTTGCCAATGTTGTTTCTCTTCTGATCCTGATCCTTAAACATGTTTCAGTGCTAAAATTCCATCTATCCTGATATGTACCAGCCAAAGATCTGTACCATTTAACACGTATACCAAGGATATCAAAGATATGGCCCACATGTGCTGCCCCTAGTGCTGCCTGTGGATTTCGGAATTGACTCACAGGCAGCATGTGGGGTGAGGCCGGAGGGCCCTGTGCACTGCACATGGTGCCTACTCTGGCCGCTCTGGGACTGTGCCTTGGAGCAGCTACCACGTGTAGCACATGGCCCTAGAGTGGTGGAGTGGCCACTGTGTGCAGCATAGTCCCAGAGTGGCCAGAGTAGGACCATGTTGCACACAATGCCCTTTCTGGCTATTCCAGGACATGGACTGGATCTAGCAAGTAGGGCCAGTCTGTGCATCCAATCCTGCCTGCAGACTGGTTCTGCACTACTCATCCAGCCTGCAGGATACCTCTGACGTAGATACCTCTGACGTAGACCAAACAAAATTGACTACGTGTTTGTGAGAACAACCAAATTATTCATACCCTGGATATATGGCACATAAGGGTTTTCTATTTCAAAGCTGGGATCCAAAGCTTTCAAGACAACCTGTAAAAACAAATAAATATATATATATACACATAAGCTTGCTAAGAACTTTTTTCCAACTACACAGTTGGTCTAATAAAAGATACCACATCTACTCAAAGAACCTTGGCTACCTATATATATATATGGCTCAGCAGAGATTTATAATGAGCCAAAATCTTTTGACAGGAGAAGCTTATGATTTAAAGTAGAAGAAAGAAAAGCAAACCCTTAATATCAAAATTATGCTTAGTGGTCATCTTTTCATCACACATCTGTGTAACCCTATTGATGTCAACCCTTTTACAGCCCTCATTTACAAACAGTGTAAATGAGAGGAGAATTAGATACGGTGAATACGATGTAGCTGGTTGACATCACAGTATAATCTGAACTAAAACAAGCATAGACACAGAGCACTACCTCGCCTTCAGTGGAAGGCTCAATGTCTGAATATCTTGAATCACAGACAATATCCCTCACTCCTCTTGCTGGACCGGAAGGGATGTTAGGGAAAGCAGCAGCACAGTCTTGGGCAAAGTACCGAAAGGCTTTCCAGGTCTGACCAGAATCTGTGGAACGCTCCACCAGCATTGCTGCAGGCCGGAAGGTCTGTAAGAAACATTAGTTCAAAAACCTCTTTAAATGGTCTTTTGTAACAAGTTTGAGATATAGCTTATTTTAAGCTGCAGTGAAGGACGATGAGAATTCCTTGCCCAGGGACTTGTAGGTCTATTAGCTGACTATGCTTGCTACTGGATTCTTTGAAGAAGAGTGCTAGATATTAATTGAAGTGTATAACAAACAGATTTGTCAACTAAACTCTCAGTGAAAATGAATTGTCAGTATTCTTCAAAAATGTGAGCAATATTAAGTATGCAATTTTAGTTCACAGAAATAGGTGCCCTCTGGAAACAATAGTATGTCAGTTAGTAATTAAAGACCATAACATAATATATACTCGCACAAAGACCAAATTTAAGCTTAATGAGCATTCTCATTCTTAATAAGTATTTAGGTATTTCCTAAATTTTGAATGCATGATATAGCAACCTCAATGTTGTTTAAATGCAGGCAGTCCTTGACTTACAACGTTTCGAGTTACAACGTTTTGCACTTACAACATTTATAAACTGACACGCTGTTTCAACTTTGACGTCAGTTTTGACTTTACAACCCTTGATCTGATGTGATGCCATGCCAGTGAACAAGTTCACTGTGTCACCCATCTCCCTGGAGAACATCTGTGCAAACTTCCTTGGACACTTTCTTTAAGAAAGCAGACAAGACTCCAGAAGAACCTGCAGCCAAGACTCCTGAGAAGACTCCAGCCAAGAGCCCTTCAAAAAGTCCAGCAAAGTCACCTCAAAGAAGTCCTTCCAAATCAATGTGATTGCTATTTACAATACAAATACATTAATGTAACTATATTACTCATCTATAATTGATTGAGTACAAAATTCTGTGGTATTTTTGGTGAAAATAGGGTATCAGGCCTTGGGCCAGGAACCAATCCCCCATTTATAACATTTTTTCTCATGAGAAAATTGGTTCCAAGTTACAACGTTTCGACTTGAGACGCAGTTTTCAGGAACCAATTGTCGTAAGTCTGAGGACTGCCTGTATTGTTAATTTTTTTAAATGTAATTATTGCATATAGTCATGGGAAGATTCAAGTAAAATATCTATACAGAATACCTTAAATGTCAGTATAAGATGGCTGAACTGGAATAAGGTTTCTAGATCTAGTCTGATGCTGACAAGATCGATGCCTGAAAATACATTAAAAACAAGGTGAAGGTCAGCAATGTGAATTGAGTCCTTCCTTCCTTAGTATAGAGACTTTAAAAGTCTGAATATAAACCATACAACACTTTCCCAGGTCCAGATTCAGCGCTCAGGTGTCTGCATTGATTAGAATGGTCACCACATGCATATATGAAGGTCCACTGTTTCTGCAGAGAATTTCAAGCTGCTCTTTCCTGATGCAGATCTCAATGCTTATGTCTTTCTTTGGAGTGATTGCATCCTCCAAATCAGCCACCCTTGTGTGTACAGAACTGAAATCCTTATGCACCATATTATTATTGCCAGTATTATGATATTACCAGAACCCAGGGCTCCCTCCTCCAAGCTGAATGCCTTAATTGCTAGGTTACAAAGTCAGGTTCCCTCTTGGACTCTGCCCCTCAGGCCCCATGAATCTCTTTAGTGGGGCATGGACATTTTAACAGGACGGGTAGAGAGTGTCCCTTTGGTTTAGTTTATAGCTTAGTATCTCCAAGAAGTGAAAGAAGTGGATTTGAACCCTTCCTCAGGCTGAAGGCCTAGAACCCAGGTCTTTTCTATCCTTGACACACTTAGCAATTATATAAAAGGTGGGGGCACCATTGTCATTTTAAAAAAAGAATATAGCTATTATTGCATTCTGTGAGGGGCCCAATCCTACTGGTACATGTTAGGTGTGCTTGGAATACACCTACCAGATATGAACCCTCAGAGGTCTTAGGGCTAGTCAATGTTGCCATTGGGTGGTGGGTCCTTGTGATGACGGTCATCTGAGAACATCCTGTCTACCTGCTTCCAAAGACACATTCTGAACCCATCAGTAAAGCTGCTCTGGGCTTGCCCATCTATGCCCACTTGCAGGCCCTCAGTGTCTGGCACGTCTCAGAGCAGGCATTGGGAATGAACCAGGACAGCTTCACTTCCAGATTGAGAATGAGCATGTGCATTAGTAGTGGGTGGGTGGTGCTTGGTCCTGTCCTCACCATGCTGCCACTGCCACACTACAGACAAGGCCCTAGTCAATACTTGGCCAAGTTTCTGGCCCCCGGTGGACTTGAGTGGGAGTTGGGTAACACTAACAACTTAAGCCAGGGTATTTCTGAGCATGATCCACAGAAGCAGAACTGAAACTGCCTGCTGTAAGCAACAGGGTTAGGCAATAGGACTGTGCGAAGCTACTGTCCCTGATTTGATTCAGTGGAGATTCGGCCCAATTCAGTGGCTGAATCTCTGAATCCGAATTGAATCAGAGGACCCTTTAATCTCTCCAAATCAAATAGGAACCCTCTGAATCGATTTGGAGAGATTCGGAAAGATTTGGTGATTCAGACATAGACGCAGCTTTCAATGTTTTTTCTACTTACCTCTAGGTAGCAGGTGGCTTGTGAATGCTGCAATGTTGGGGCATATTGAATGTCCCACAGAAGCATGGGGGGCTCCCCAGTGCACTTGGCAGCAGAACCGGAACTGGACCAGAAGCATTTCTGGTCCACGTCTGGGGTCGCTGCCAAGCACATGGAGGGCTCCCCCGGCTGTACTCCTGTGGGACGCTCCCTGCCACAGCACTGCAGTGTTCACAAGCTGTGCTGGTACGTTGAGGTATGTAGGAAAAACATTTAAAGCTGTGTCTATGTCCGAATCGCTGATTCTCTGAATCAGCTTCAAATCTTCAGATCCGGATTCAGCCGAATCAAACCAGGGACAGTGATCTGAATCAATGAATCGAATCACTGCCCCTATTCGGACTGAATCTGAATTGAATAGGGCTTGCTTTGCAAACCTCTATTAGGCAACAACTGAGCGCTGGGAATGAGCTGGGGTTGTTCAGATCACAAATTTGGAGTCAGGTGTCTAAAGTCCTATTTCAGTTCTGGCATTAGAACTAGAACCACTACTGTGGTTTATACAGCTGTATTAGTATAACTTCTGTCGCACCAACAGGCTTCATTAAAAGCAGATGAACACATATTTCCACAGTAAGCAGGTAATTAAATCCCGCTTCAGTTCCTTTTGTTCAACTGTACATTCAAGGTATTGTATTTAGAACTTGTCTGTTGATAAATCAGCTCTTTTTTAAAAAACATTTCAAATTCTGCACTGTTACAAATCACTATACCTTTTGATTCAATACTGTATGATCAGAGAAAAGAAAGTGTACACAGCACTGTCTCAAGGATTCATAAAATGATGCTTATGAATGATGATTAAAGTAAGCTACACTAAACAAAAAAAAAAGAATATTTCTTCAAGGTAACCTACCATTTTCTGATTGCCACCATTTTTTTTTCCTGTCTGGTTCGAAAGTTGTGATGACATTTTCAATTCTGTGACTGTTCAGCTGCGTGTAGGGGTTATAAGGGTATTTGGAATCGCAGAGGAAGCATTTCTGTTCACCCTAGAAAACAATAATAGTAAAAGGGTACACCTCTTGTCAAACCTGCCCTGGACAGGTGTCCTGCCCCACTGGCCACCTTCTTGGCCACCATCCTGGAACTGGAAGTCCTGCCTCCTACCCCCTGACATTTGCCACTGACAGTTCCACCCCTTGCCGTGGAAGCGCCCCCTTTGGAGGGGGTCACCATCTTGATCACCATCTTGGAATCAGAAGTCCTCTTCTGATAGCTCCACCCACATAACCCTGAACCCTCCCCCCCACCTTACTGCCATGTTGGCTGACATGTTCATCACCATCTTGGCTACCATATTGGTCCTAAAAGCCCCTGCCTCATCACATAATCTTTGATCCCAGTAGTTCCACTGACATGAGCCCAAAACCTGCCCCCTTGCTGCCATGTTGGCCTCCATGTTGGTTGCCATCTTGACTGCCATTTTGGTTCCAGAAGCCTCTGCCCTGTCACATGGTCCATGGCCCCAGAAGTTTCACCCACATTACCCTGAAATCTGCCCCTCTTGCTGCCAAGTTCCCTGCCAAGCCCCTGCACTGTCACATGATCCATGATACCAGAAGTTCCACCCACATGACCCCAAAACCCATCTCCCTTGCTGCCATATTGGTCACCATATTGGTGGCCATGTTGGCTGCTATGTTGGTCCCAGAAGCCTCTGCCCCATCATATGGTCTGTGGCACTGGAAGCTCCTCCTGCATCACCTTTTACCACAGGGGTTGGTAACCCCTGGCACGCGTGCTGAGCATGGCACGTGAGGCCATTTTGCTTACCATGCCATGGTCAGCCCCGGCTCTGGGGAGCTGCTCCCAATGACACCACCCCGGCCGCTGCC